GGTTTGTTTGATGTTATTGATGATCCACCCATAAGGTATGGATTCATTGTCATTTGTAATGATTCTGCTGCATTTGGCATTTGAGAAAAATTTGAAAGTTGGTTTCTTGTTATTTCATGTTGTTGGAGATAATATGGGAGTGGTATTTCATTTTGCATTTGTGATGGTTGATACGAGTGTGCAGTCATTGGATTTTGTTGTTGAATTGGTTGAAAAGATTGTGTATTAATTGGATTTTGTTGTTTAATTGGTTGTTGATTTTGTGCATCTATTGGTTGTGGAGAAAAATTTCTATGATTTGTACGTGTTCTCTGTATTCCTTGTTTACGATATTCTTGAGTATTTTGTGCAAATATATCTGGTTGTAAGAAATCATCATCTGAGGATAAATAATCCATTTGATAAGATGTCTGTTTTTTATTTTTATTTTGTTGAAAAAATGGGTAATTTTCACTGTGATCCCGTGGAGGATTTGTTTGGAAATTTGTTGAATTAGGTTGGGCCATTGGGTTATCCCAATTTCGAGATCTTGTATATTGGTTAAAATTTCTTTGTGGTTGATTATATGTTTTTGATGGATGTGTATAATTATAATTATGGTCTGCAAAGTTGTTTCTAGTGAATGTTTTGCGTGTTTTTGATGGTATTGTCATGGGTCTGTATGTTTGGTAATCCATATGTGAATATTTAGGGGCAACCGAAGGTTTAACGGTTGATTGTAAGGTTACCTGTGTTTGTGAAGGATTTGTATTTCTTGGTGTTGTTAAATTTGGGCGTATTGGTGAAATACTTTGTTGTGTAGTTGTTGTGTGTACAATTTCTTCATTTATGAAGTGTGATGGTGTCTGGATATCTTGTTGAGTAAGATTCCTAGTTCCATTGAGGTTTTCATTGTGTATAACTGTAGAGTTTAAACTATTATTTTGTGTATCGGGTAAAAATGTATTATAGTTTAATGGTGTTGCATCAATTGTTAATGGTATTACTCTTACATAATCTCTTATGTAAGATATTGTACCTATTGCTTGACTTGAGATTGATTGTGGAAAGCTTATAAATGCGGGATGAGACCATTCGGGGTCCCAAACATAATCTGATTGTTCTGTGATAGCGGTATCATCGTTCGAATTTTGGGGTCTAAAATTTTTTCTTGCTTGTGCAATTAAATCAATATTGTGTGTGAAATAATCTATTATGAACCATGCCAAAATTTTTTGTAGATCGTGTTTTGTATGTTGTGAAACGTCGTCTTTCGTGAAATTTTCTTTAATGATGTTTAAATAACTAGAGAGTAGTGTGATTTCATGTCGTACTTTCAAATGTTTAGATGTTTCTGTCGGTGAGACATTTGTTATTGGGATTTCGTTTTCTAATATCGAAATATAACTATATATTATTGCGAAAACTTCATTGGTGAATATGGAGTTTGCTCTTTGTGAGTTATGGTATTGGATGCTTTTTATATATTCTGAAAAAACTTTTGAAAATTCTAAATCAAGATCGTCTGTTTGAATTGTATATTTTCTATTATTATGGTTTGGTGAGGTGAATTCTATGGAGCAGATTCCATACTGTTGTGTTATGTTGCATATATCTTTTAGATAGTGATCTATGATTTGTCTTTTGATTTTTACATCGGGGAACTCTGTTTTACATGGACTGATTCCGGGTTCAAATAAATTTACGAGTAAATTTTGACAAAATATGTGTTGTCCTCTATCAGTATCTGCGTCTACTATAAAAGGAAAGATTTCATCATCATCTGGAGTTTCTTCACCTGGGGTGTGCGTTGAACTCATTTTTCCGTTCGATGACTGTTAATATGTAATTATTAATGTGTCGAATTGGTTGATTCCAATTGTATAGATGTACTGGTTTGTGTTTGTACTGTTTTTTTATTCTTCTTTTTCCTCTTTGTGATGAATTTGAAGTTGTTTCTGAGTCAGAGAAATATAATTGATCGTGAATTGGGCAATTTTTATCTATTGATTCTTTTAGTTTGTAAAGTTCGTCTAAACTGTTGGTTTCTGATTCTGAAAATGCGTTTCGATTTTTTGAAAATCTTTTTCGTGTTATTTGTCTTTGTTTAGTTATTATTTTCCTCTTTAGTGTTTGTCGTTTTGTGCGAATGTATCCAACTGTTTGTGTATGAGGTGTGATTACAAGGTCGTATTTTTTGTTATTTATTTCACAATTGTGTAAAACGATTGTTTGTTTATTTCCTAGGTTTTTAAATGACATAAGGTTTAGAATGACGGATGCAAAGGTTGTTAAATGATTTTTATTTTCTTAAACTGTTAGTTCTTACGATTTTTTGGTTAGCTTAACCTGGGTCTATTTGTTCAGGGTTGGAGAGAAAAGTATATCGATTCCGAAGAATGATTTTTACTTTCTCGTGACTAGTATAAGCTAAGGTGTTAACTTACTTAATCTTACTTAGGGGTAGTGATTGTGTTCAAGGGTTGGAGAATAGTAAATCGATCCACAAGGTTCAGGTATAATTAGAACGCGAGTAGTTCGTTAGATACTATTTTAAACTTACTAAGTCTAAGATTTATCCTGGGTCTGTTAAGAGGGGGGGTCAAGTGAAGGATGAATAACCGAAGTTCTTCACTGTTTACCCTAATTTGAATGATTAGTTTTGTTTAAAAATTTCTATTAGTCTTGGGTCTTTAGAAAGGGTTGGGTAGTGAATCGACGTTTGAGGTCGTTAGACACTAATTAAGTGGGTGGGGGAGAACAAAGTTGTTCTGTTTGATCCAAGGATAAGCCTTGATGATCAAATTTGAAATTTAATTAAGTAGAAAATGATTTAAGATCCAAGGATAAGCCTTGATGATCTGGTTTTAAAATTAAGTGAATTTAAGTTTTAATAAAATTTTAAATGTGTGTAAAGGAAAGATTTAGTGTTTTGATGATATTAGTGGGTTTATGATTGCTGTTATGTTTTAGGTGATGGAGCTGGAATCAACAGGATGATTTATGATTACTAACCATTTATTGTCATGCTACTAATTTTTATTTTTTATTTTTCAATAAATATTTTTCAAACATATTTTGTATATTACTGCAGAGTTTTAGGAGAACGATCTTAGATCTTTTTATCAATCGTTATTGTATATTAATAAATTTGTTTAGCGCCTGAAATGATTTTGAAGAGTAACTTCAAGGTTTTATGTTTGCAAATGGAAATCTAAATTCATTGCAAGTAGTATTCTAAATATAAAAGTTTGTTCTGGCTTTTGCCGAACTATCATATAACTATACGGCAAGTTTCTACTTTGTCGTATGTCGTCTTTGGTTCGAGGTCTTCTTCCAATTCCGGGTAGTTCTGTTATGGTTCGGAATATTGGCTCTGATCTATTGAGTCGTAGAGACATTTCGATTAAATTATTGTCGTATAACATTTTGTAAATGTTTTTGTCTAATTTCTAATCTATTTTGGTTAATTCTAATCTATTAAGGTCTTGTTCGAGACTTATGGTCGCACCAGATGAGTTAGGACCGAAGTGTAACTCATAGAGTAATTTCGGATAGGGTACACCGTCTGCTCGTCACGCTATCTTATTTTCGGCCGGATAGATTCGTGCAACTTCTTAGTCTAATACCGATCCTAATCTTACTCTTATACTATCTAGTCTCAGGTTGTTTAACTAGTCTCTGCTAGGCTCAATAGATCTAGGGTATACTGGTTTATTGCGGCTGCTGAAGTGCTCGGGAGAGTCCAACTAATTTCTAAGTTAAATTCAAATCTCTCTGGTGCTGAAATTACAAGTAACTTCAGCACTTACAAATAAGTGGGTTGTTAGTTAGATGGATTGTGATTGGTTAATATTAAATACTTTACATTGGTAAAACATTTAATTTATCCAATCATAAAATATAGTTTAGATCAGGTTCCAAAAGGCTTGCTCTAAATAGTTTTAACTTTTTCAATAAATCAAGATATCAAATAAAATTTAAATAAATCAAATATTAGATGCTGTTTGACAAAAAAACTTCTTTGGGAACCGATTTTCTACAAACCGTCTTCAACCGGTTCAATCGTCAAAAAAAATTTTTTAAAAAATCGTTTCACCGGTTGCATAGGTTGCTCGAATCAAAGTTTGATTCCCCGAGATGATTCAACTTATCGAACAATTCAACTTGAAAAAGTACTCGAAAGAACATCAGTTTTTGCAAACTGTTTTGAAGCTATCGAATAATTTAAGTTATTACAAACTATTGCATTTAAATTAAAGTTATCTAAATCGTTTTTCGACGTTTTTCATCTTAAGTACTTGAATTACATCACAGTTTTTTTGATTTAAAATCTTCTCATAAATACGTTAAAATTTAAATGCTTTGTCATAAATACGTTAAAAATTTGCAAACTTTGAAAACTTTCAAATTTTTTGTCTTTTGAAAAACCCGTGAAAAAAAACAATGGTTTTCCAAGATCCGATACACAAAACTACAAAACATTCTGAAAACAAATGTGCTCAGAAAAAAATCATTCTGAAAACAAATGTGCTCAGAAAAAAAACATCCATGCTTCCAAAAAAACATCTATGCTCTCGATGCTTCCAATTTCAATCCGCTTCAAAAAAATGACGAAATTCTGTGTGCTTTTTTTCCATGTAAAGAAGAAAAAATATATATTTTTAAGTTCAACCGCTTTAAAAAACTGCCTGAGAAAACAATACGTTTTCCAAGACTCGGTTCGAGCTATCAACGTTTTGTCGTTTAAATAATTTTTCGTAAACCACAACAACGTTTCGCAAAGTTTTCCAAGCTCTCAAGCTACATGAAATGTTTCAAAAAATCATCGCTTAAAAAACCTGTCAGAAAAAAGTCAAAACTTGCGAATCAATTTAATTATTTTTGATCGCAGCTTTCACCAGATTTTTTTATTATTATTTTCGCGAGCCAATTCAAGTACTCACAATTGGGAACAAGGGGGAATTTGTAAAATATGCGCGTTAAAACGATATATTTTAGAATTAGCGTGTAGGTATTACCCCGAGTAGTGTAGAGGATGACTTGGTATGTGATCTGGTCAATAAGGTTGCGCACTCTCTCTTTGATGGAGTCCTCCGGAGTATTGGCACCTGCATTGGCAGGCAGCGCCCTCTTGATGGCCATATCAAACACGACACTAAAAGCCTTGAGGCTGAACTGGTAAATGGGGTTGATCTTGTACAGATCGTTGAGGATGAAGTAGAGAAGGGAGGCTCTGGCTGCCGCGTGTCTGTAGTCCTCGCGAGCACTATTGATCATCACCTGCCAATCAACAGAAGTTTTAACAGTCTACTTACTTCCTCTCGGAGATCAAATCGACAAACGGCACATGGCACAAACAAATCGGCAAACGAAAAAAAAATCGAGAAAATGCCGCCGGAAAAATCAAGATGGAAGTATTGTCTTCGCCTAACTTGAAAATGCCAGTTTTTGCAAACTATTTACCCTTAAAACTACAAAGTTTTACTCAGATATGAATGAGCAGTCCCAGTTATTAGCGGAAAAGCAGTTGTCGCGATGTGGTGCATAGTAGAACCAGTTCTAAGCAAGTATTTATAAACCGATCATATTATTGATAAAACAAAATATTACTAACTAACCAATCATAGTTCATAACTAACATTGACACTTTTTTGTAAGTGCTGAAATTACCTCTAGTTTCAGCACCAGAATAATTTGAATAAATCTTAGACTACAGTTGTTCTCCTTCCGGATAAACTCCAAGAGATAGGAGATGTAAGAGTTGCACGAATCTATCCGGCCGAAAATAAGATAGCGCGACGATCAAACGGTGGACCTTATCTGAAATTAATCTATGGGTAAAGTACTCGTACATAACTCATCTGGTGCGATCAAAAGTCGTGAACAATACCTTAACAAACCTAGATTTAGACTATTAGAATTAGAGTTAGACAATTGCAAAACAGCAAAATGTTAGATGGAATAGACAATTTAATAGAAGTTTCAATAAACCTACGCCAAAATTTCAAACAATACAAGAAATACCAGGTAATGCACGAAGACCGAGTTCACGGCGACAAACAACGACTAAACGACGCAGCAAACTACTCTATGGTAGCACGGCGAAAACCGCAACAAACATTTGTGTTCAGAATACTTTACGCAGTAAATTAAATTTTCATTTTTTAACATAAAATTTCTTTGAAAAATACTTCTTCATAACTTATTTGGTGCTTTATAACCTATTATTTAAAAAATAACGACCGAAAAAAAAGATTTTCATCTCGTTCTTTTCCAAATTTGCATTGAAATAAATTGAAAACTTTTGAAGAATTAAAATATTGGAGAAAAATTACAAAATTAGTTCGTAGAAAAGTTTAACGATAATTTATTAAGTTGAATACAAATTTCTTGCTTCTCAAGAAATCACTTTCTGTTCATCCCCGATTCATCACCCAAAACATAACCAAAAATTTTCCAAAAAACTAAAATCATTTAAATTTTAGCACTTTTCCTTAACCTGGATTTTAAAATTAATTATTATCAAGGCTTATCCTCGCTTTCAATAAATCACGTTTTATTTCAAAAACAGATCACCAAGGCTATCCTTGGATCTTTAAATTAACTTAATTCTATCTCATTTAATTGTTCTGATCATCAAGGCTGAATCAATCAGAACAACTTTGTTTTCCCCACTTCACAATTTGAATTGTCTGACGAACTCAAATGTCGATTCACTCTCCAACCCTTAAAATGACCGAGAACTAACAAGTTTTTTTTGAAAACTAACTAGTTTAATTACGACAAAACTTGAAGAGCTTCGGTTACTCATCCTTCAGTTGAACCCTTCCTCTTAGATGACCCACGCTAAACCATTAACAATTAATAACTTCTGTAATAGTATCTAACGATCTACTTGTGTTCTAAATATACCTGAACCTTATGGATTGGTTTACTATTCTTCTACCCTTGATCACAAATGAAACCGTTAGGTAATATTAAGCAAGCCCATGATATAATAAAACATAACTAAGAAAAAGGAAAAATCAATCTCACGAACAAATCTACTCTCTCTTCATTCCATCAACCACGACAAATTATGCCCTATGTTAAGATAACTACAAAAAAATGTAGCAGTAAACAATCAATCATAATACATAATTTTCTAACTAAAAACAAAAGTTATGATCTTGAAATCACACCGCATAGACAAACAATAGGTTAGATCTGGTCAAAAAGACAAGCACGAAAAAAAACAATGATAGCTAGAATAAAACAAATTATCAAAAAAAAAAACGATTTTAAAAAACATTTAACGCAGTTTCAGATTCAGATACGAAAACAATGCAAAAACAAACATTCAATGAATAAGATTAACCCGATAGAACACCAAAAATATTTTTCTGACTCGGAATCTACATCACCATTATCAAATAAAAGTAAACGCAGAAATAAAAAAAACAATACAAAAACAAACCAGTACGAATGTATGATTGGAATCAACAAATGAGACACACTGAAAGTTACACATTGACAATTTTAAGGTACAAAAAATGACCGATTAGGGAAAAAAATTGACGATAACTCAAAACGTTCCCCCGATAATATTCCACAAAGTGATCTCGCTCGAAGACAAGTACAATGTTGTCACAACTTAAACGTAAACTTTTTCGAAAAAGGAAGAAGTTCATGCAAACAGGAGTTTCCTGAAATCAAGATAAAAAGACAAATTCTCGATCACTCTCGTAAAGGCAATTGTAATACTAAATCATAAAACGTAATTGTTTCTATGGAAATCCTACCAGCACAACCAAACCAATCTATACATCAAATACAACCAGACGACATAGATATAGAACTTTGAAAAGTTTCCACAAAATACATCAAAAAATACAACATCAAATTTCACAGAGAGTAATATTCAATCTTTATAAACTATTTTTTTCTCTTATTTATGGTTATGTATCTATATTAGAAATGAAAAAAAAAAACAAAACGAAACACCACTTCAAATATCGCGACGCTAAACTGTTAGACAAGAATTTTATCTTTCTCAAAATTCTTAGTTACAATCCGTGAAAACCTCGCTAGTACTGATATATCACAAAATGTGAAACATGATCTCCAACGAAAAATAGCATAGATTAAAACTGATTTTCTTTGTTCACAATTTTGATTTCTTTTCAACACCAAGAAATTGTTTTCGACCACAAAGTACGGACAATGAAATTACTCTAGCAGACCAAACAAATTAATTTAGAACCCTGATTGGTCTCATCTTTCATTTATTAATAGAACAACCGATATATCAAATGCAGTAATTTACACTATTTCTGTACATACATGAAAGTATGTAAAAATAACTCCACCTAATTTTTGATGCTACACCTTTGAGTTATAACGCAAGGTTCACTGATAGAACAGGAAATAACAGCTTGAAGTCCACATTCATCAACACACAAGAAAACCTAACGGAACAAGAAATCTTACACAACAAGACATTCAAACCCCATCACATTTTGATCATGAGGAAATAGTTGAAACAAGGCGGACAACAACACAAGTTAGCAATTGTTCCACTCGTCCTACAATTACCACCCCACATAATAAAAAATACTGCAATTCCACAGACAGCTATACAACCAACAATAAAACCATCTATTGCCCCAAATTTTTCTAAAATGGATTACCAAACTTATGGACCAGCAATGAAAACGCGACAAACAAATAAACAAAAATTTTCAAAAAGAAACAATTTTTCAGACCATAACTACAATTTTTTGCGAAAAACAAGATAACAAAAACCTCCTTTATAAGTAGTCAAAAACAAACACAATCACAAGGTTACAACCAGCAGATACCCCAATAAGCCGCTCACTCAGTTTTTTTCAATGACCAACAACGACTTACAACAGATCGTAGCAAAAATTCTCAATTTTTTCAACATAAAAAAAAAGATCATTAATAGAAAATGTACGAGAATTCAATCACAAGATTCAGAAGTTAAAGAATATTTTAACCAATGCCAACAATTTTTTAATAATAACCCCTAAAAAAATAATTGGAATATGAATCATTCAGACCCTATCTATCAACCGGATGTTTTTGAACCTTATAAACGAAGTGAACAAACACGACAATCAAGACAAACTTCAGTTTCATACAATCATAATTTCCAATCACAAAACCCTATAAGTACACAAAAATACCAACCAAATCAGATGCAAAATGAAATCAAATTACCATATTATTTACAACAAGAAGAAATAAAAAAACAAACTCACAAATTTTTCACAATTAAAGAATGCAGCAGAATCACTCCAAATGACTATTAATCCATAGCTCATGGGTAATTTATCATTATCGTCCAATAAACCACTAATGATTTTTACAGGAACTGATCCTGAATACCCAGTAGGAGAATATTTAAACGCAGTCACGGTTAACTTAATTTTAAATATAGGACCTAAACCAGTGAATACCCCAATACATCAAAATTGGATACTTTGACTAGCTCTATTTGAAACCACATTTAATGGCACAACCCAAAACTGGTTTTCAGTTTTACCAATTTACATTAAAGAAGATTGGAAAAGACCTACACAAGACATTTCAAAATTATTCGATTCTGAAAGAAATAAACAACAACAAAGAATACTATTGCAATGAAAATGAAACACTAGTAGTAACTCTACGCGTAGAACTAAAACACTAGTCCTATTTCCATAATACGCATGGATACAAAAACACGAAAATGACAGAAGTCTTTGATAGAAATCGAAAATGACGGAACGATGACTCTAACCAAACACTTATGTAAATTAGCAAAAAAATAAGAGAGCATCACATCCATCATCAAATTGAGAACCCGACATAGATTCCTGAAAATTAGTAGAGAATTTAGAACAAGCTGGAATCACTATGAAATTAGAAGAAACAGAAATTTTGAAAAAACAGTATGTAAACAATATTCGAACAACAGCTTCACAAAAAAAACAATATTCATGACTCTGACAATGAAATAGTTAAAAAAGTTAGTCAAATATTAAATGTCTACGAAAAAACCCAAACTTTTAAGGTAAACCATCACTCAAAAATTAGTGCAATTATTGTCGTAGATATGGACATAGCTTTGCTGAATGCAGGTAAAAACAACAGGGTAATCAAAACAAACCACAGAATCATAGAGAGCCAAATAAATCTTTTTACCGATATCTGAAAAGAGAACGAAGTCTACCAAACAAATCTATTCGCAGTAACTCTAGTTCAAAAAGCACTTCCAGTTATCTACAGTATTTACC